GAAGGGTATTGGAGAGGGGAAGGGGTAAGGGTGGAAGGTGTTGGAGACGGGGAGAGGTACGGGAGGAAGGTATTGGAGAGGGGAGAGGTAGGGGACGAAGGTGTTAGAGAGGGGGAGAGGTAGGGGAGGGTGTTTAAGAGGGGGAGAGGTTGGGGAAGAAGGGTATTGGAGAGGGGGAGAGGTACGGGAGGAAGGTGTTGGAGAGGGGGAGAGAAAGGGAAGAGGCAGAGGGTAGGTATGGTGGGAACCAGAGGTAGGGAGAGTATTAAGGTATCAGAGGTTTGGATGTTGGGGAAAGGGGATTAGATAAAGACAAAAAGAGAAGTTAGGAAGGGGTTAAGGGTTAGAGAATGGGGACGACGAAGCAGGGGTAGGGGGTTGGTATTAGGATAAGGAAAGAGCAGAGTAGGGGTATTTAATCAAAATAGAGGGGAAGGAGGATAAGAGGCTTGAGGGATAGGGCTAAAGGTTGAAAAATAACGATAAGGACGGACAGGGTCGGAAAATACAGGGGGAACAGGATTCTCAACACGACAGAGGAAAGGAGAGAGAAGACAGGAAGAGACAAGGTTAGGGCCAAGACAGGGCTAAAAGGGTTAAGATATCCACAGTACTCGAAAGGAGAGCTTAATAAACAGCCGTTCTCGCAACACACGAAATTCACTCCATCCCTGTTGCCATTTCCGTAAAACAACAGAATTGCACGAGGATCCAGTGGTCTCGGAAGGTCCTCGTTCTGGCAAGGGAGGGGAAAGGGAGGGAAAAGGGGAGAAAGGGAGAAAGAGGGGATAACGAATGAGAGGAGATGGAGAAAGTGGGTGATGGGAGAGACTTGGGGAGGGGAGAAAGGGGGGATAGCGAATGAGAGGAGATGGAGAAAGTAGGGGATGGGAGAGGCTTGGGGAGGGGGAGAAAGGGAGAAAGGGAGATGGAGAAAGTGGGTGATGGGAGGGGAAAGGGAAAGGGAGGGAGAAAGAGGGGATAACGAATGAGAGGAGATGGAGAAAATCGGGGGTGGGAGAGACTTGGGGAGGAGAGAAAGAGAAAGGAGGAGGGAGGATACCGAAAGAAGGGGAGGAGAGGAGTACCAAAGGGAGGTGAGGGGGGAGGGGTACCGAAGGAAGGGGAGGAGGGAGGGTACCAAAGGGAGGGGAGGAATGAGGCTTGGGAAGAAAGGAAAAAATACGGAGGGAAGGGGAGGAGGGAGTCTAGGAAAGGAGGGAGGGCGGAGACTAGAGAAGGAGAATGAGAAGGGAGGAGGTCGTGGAGGGGCCCTTGGGAAGAATGGAAAAGGTTAGGGGAAGGGAAGGGGAGAGGGAGGATAGGGAAGGAGGGGGAGAAAGAGGATAGGGGGGGGGGGAGGGAAGAGGGAAGGGAAGTGGAGAGGGAGGATAGGGCAGGAGGGGGAGGAGAGGGCTAGAAAAGGCGGGAAGAATGAAGGTAGGGAGGGAAGGAGAACAGGAGAAGGTGGAGGAGGGAAGGAGAGAGGGAAGAGGTGGAGGAGAGAGGCTAGAAAGGGAGGAGGGAAGATGGAAGGTAGGTAGGGAGGGAGGAGGGAAGAGGAGGGGATAAGGAAGAAGAGGTGGGGGGGGGGAGAGCGAAGGAGACTGGCGGATTAAACGTCTTACTTCCCTCGGGCAAGGAATTGTCGCATGCAATTTCTTCTCTTCTTTTTTCTTCTTCTTCTTCCGTTTCTCCTCTTCTTTGTTCTTCTTTTTGGTGGAATTTTAGAACTGTGGTTTGACTTGATCTCCTTCTCTTCTTTCTCTTCTCCTTGTTTTTTTTTTTTCTGTTGTTTCCTATTCTTTTTCAGGTGAACAATAGACACGTAGTTCGACTAGACGCTTTCTCCTCCTTCTCCTCCATTTTCTTCTTCTCCCTTTCCCAATTCTCTTATTATTATATTCCTTCTCGTCATCTTTTGTTTCTTCTTCTCCTTCTCCCTTCTTCTTATCCTCCCTCCCTTTTCTTCTTCTTATTATTATTATTATTTTTCAATTTCTTCTCCTGCTCCCTCTTCTTCTTCTTATCCTCTTACCCTTTTCTTATTATTATTATTATTATTAGTAGTAGTAGTAGTAGTATCATTATCATTATTATTATCTTCTTCTTTCTCTCTTTTTTCTGCTTCTACTCCTTTTTCGAAGGAATGTTAGAACGGTGGCTTAACTTGAGGCTTCAAATCCACACTGATACTCGAGGTTTCAGGTCCTACGGCATAGCTGAAAACAACCATATAAATTCGAGAGGAAAATGTGCAGGAGAAAAAATTCTTTTGGTCAAGGATTCCCTTTAAACGTACCTTTATTGACCTCGTGTGACCCTTTGCGGGGACAGGGACTTTCTAAAATACTGTAGAAAGGGCACACATATATGGTGGGCCGCCGCGCTCTCCGTATCTCTGCGTTTTTTCTTTCTTTCTTTTTCTTCTTTTTCTGGTAGCCTATTCGTTTCTGTCTTTTTTTCTGCCTTTCTCTCTCTCTCTCGCTCTCTCACATAC